AAAAAAAAAAAAAAAATGAGGACAAACAAGGGCTAAGTGTTTAATATTATTATTTGTATGGCCTAAAATCACCTGAATAATATTTCTAAAAGAAAAGAGTCCACTCGCTATCTCTTGAGGTAACAAATTAGTCCACTTCCCCCCCTTATCCGATTAGGTCACGACTGCATGGAACTTCCATCCTGTTAACCGGACATGATGGAAAACTCAACATGGGAGCAAAAACTCAATGTCTTAACCCACATCTTAACCTACCCAACAATCACACCACCTCTCCACTCCCAGTACTTTGTAGCCACCCAACTCCCCTGCTACCTCAATTGGGATTACCCACCGCTCCTCTGCCGCCACGCCTCTGCCGCTTCGCCGCCTCTCCACTTGAAGTGGGCTTTCTCCCAATTCCTCAAAAGGGTGTCAAGATTTGGGCTCCCTCACACCTCTTGGCGGTCCAAGTGTCCATTTCAGCAGCCTCCACCACTGGTACTGGCCAAGGGAGTGGAGGAAGCACGGTGGGGTGAAGAAGAAAGGAGACAATATGTGTGGAAAAGATTGAGAAGGAAACGGCTTGGGAGTAATGTTCACCCCATTATTCCAATTCTACTCCCAAATCTCTTGTTGTTCTCTTTTAGGTTTTGGGATCCGATTCCTCTCGATTAGACCTGAATTCTTGAGATTGGTGTAAACTGTTTGGTTTCTGTAAATTTTATTATTTAGTTTTGATAAGAAACTAGAACTTTCTGAGTTGTTCGAATCATCAATTCCCATAAATATTTCCTGTTCCATTTTTGGTCTACAGTTGACAGGGAAAATTTCATGTAGTGAACCTTTAGAGCGTCTCCATTCACTCTGATAGTAAACTAAATAGAAAGACATTGATCTCTATGAATAAACGTTTAAGTTAGATCTGGGCTCCCTCACATCAGATTGGTGTTCTCTGTGTTAATTGTTAATAAAATGTCAACCACCATCACTATTCCTAATTTTGATATTGGATACTTGAAATAATCGATTTATTAAATTAAGCCTTGATGTTTGCTATAATTCTTCATATTAACAGTTGATGAAAATTATCTTTGGTTGGTGAAATATCTAAATTATTTATAATTTCACGAAAAATGTATGAAATAAGATACGAAAAGTCTACTGTCTTTTTTTTTTTTTTTTTTCAGAAATGTCCACGTTATTAGGTAGTTTATAAAGGTTGAACCCCCTCCCCCACCCCCTCGAGCATTGTGGAGAAGGTAAATCGCGGGATGTATCTCGGCGGTCAGGTTACAATAGTTGTCATATTGATGTCCACAAAGAGTTCAATTACATAGCTTGTAAGATACAGGAATCGAACCCTTATTCTGCGACTGTTAACTCAGTTGAGACTACCTCACTCCCGTCCTTTGCACTACTGAGCTATGCTCCGAGAGGCCTTATTAAAAGTTTATATATGGAGGTAGTGACGTTAGTGTGTAGTCGAGGTTTTAGGTACTGTGACGATAGGTGCACATAGTATTAGGTACATAACTCCACTTTCATGAGAAGCCGTTAGTGCATTCTAGAATGCAAAGCGAAAAGAATATTCATCTTCTATGCACCACAAGAAGCACTTTTCCATCCAATTGTAATATTGTTTGTCTTATCATTTCGATAATCAAGAGAGTTTTAAAAATGCCAGACGACATGTGAACATGAGTTCAACATTAGACGACATGAATTTTTTAGACTTTGTGTTACTTTTAAGTAACATTATGGAAAAAGACCAGATAAATTATCATAATTTAATATTTATATTTCCCCTTTCTTAAAGCTAATCTTTGAAATTGTTACCCGACAAAATTGATGGTAATGTTCACTCCGTTGTAGACCATTCAACCACGAAATTTCTAAGATCGTCACATTTGACATTTGAGAGCATGAAAGTAGTAGAAATCAACATTTCGAAGTAATAGGTAATGTGGAAACTTCCGTAGTTTTTGATGGAAATCACAAATTTTTAAGTACTAGTTGTTATCCCATTAAAATGAGACTAGCCGAGGTGCCTAAAGAGGTACTAACCGACGTGCTTAAGAGGTACAAACCGAGGTCCATGCTGAGGCACTGTCTCAAAGACGAAGCTCTACAACCTTGAGCTGAACCACTATCTAAGGATACAAAGAAAGGAGCTGATGCTCTTCACTTACAGGACCACCTCAAAGATCTCTCCGAGGCTCTCAACTCTTCCGAAGTTCACTAAGCTGACGCTGTCTCTTATAATAGATTTGAAGATCTTTTAGTAGTGATTGATGTGACGTCTGTAATAATGTTTTGACAGTGAGTCCGCCTATTGTATAGAACGGCTCACCCCTTATCAATGCATAAGTAGCATAAAAGGACAATGANAAAGTTTTGACAGTGTGTCAGCCTATTATATAGAGCGACTGACCCCTTATCAATGCATTAATTGTATGAATGGACAATGATGTGACGTCCTAACAAAGGAGATGAGGCAACGTGGTTCTGATCCAATGGTCACCACCTCGGCCAAGACAACATAAATAGGCTCTCTTTGTAAAGAAATGGGAGATCTGGGTAATCATACAATAAAGCACAAAAATATACCTTCACTCTCGTGAAACATAGAGATATTGAAGAATATTTACACATATTGTTTTTTACATATTTTGCAAACACAATAGCAAATATATCAAGATTCCAACACAAAACTCAATTTTATTCTATCTATCATTCCACGTATTTCACTATAAATGAGAGATTTATTCTTGATTATTTGGGCTTGGCGATCATTGATAGCGTGGTTGCCTTCAAATCACACGGCCGGAGTCCGATCATTTTTGTCTCTTGCCGGAAAGTGCCTCCTTCGTCCATTCCAGCTAGACTACCGTTCCTGTTCTGGTAGAAACGCATCGAATCCGTACTTGACGTGGGAAGAGTGAACTCGATATCTGTTGAGTTCATTTTTTAGGGTCAACACTAGTGCTGCTGAAGTAGTCACCCGAAAAGTTTCTGCTATAGTTTTCCCAATAAATGAAGTAAACTGAACCTAAAATCATTTTTGTACACAATCGAAGTATTGATGACCCGGAAATCTTTATACTTCATTAAATTTATCTATGACAATCTTTATAGCCCACTTCAATTGCCTCTTAATTAATATTTTTTTTTATAACCGTGGATATCTGAGCCAACTTGCGTGCACCTCGACTAATCTCACGTGGTTCTTAAGTTTACAATCGGATACTCACTTCAATGGCCTTGAAGGACCTCTTATTAATATCTAGTCGGACCCGATATGAATTTGCTTTTAGCTCTTTAAATATGCAATTAATATAAAGTTTTCAAAGGATAGATCGAGCTCTTAATCGAAAAACGAAGCCATTAGCAACATATAAAATGTTGACAGTGAAATTCTACCACATTAGATTTTTGCCCGTTAATCGCGCCAGAATTAACATTCAACGACACCCTCTGGGCACCACCAAACCCTAACCCCACACACACCAAAAAGGAGAAAAAGAAAAATTAAAATTTTGTTAAAATATTTAAACCTTTTACGTCGGAAACTCGATTCAATTCAACTTATTAAACATATTATAAAGACGCCAATTTTCTTATTTTTGGATCAATCAAGAGGTCGTTCATTGCTATTAGTCAATTAATTATTTCATCATTTCCTTTAAGTCAAATGTGGAGATTGAGTAAGTGTGTGACTATAAATAAAAATTAAACACATTAAAAAAAATTTTAAAACGCAAAATTATGAGCAAACTACGAAAGTATAACAAAATTAAAAAAAAAAAAAAAATTATTTCTAGAAAAATTTGTAATCTCTATTTAAAAATGTCAAAATAGTAAATATAAAAACTACAATCAAAATTATGACCCACAAAATGGTTATAAAGGCGGGATGTCTAGTGTCTATAAGCGTGTTGCAACAGCAAAAACGCGTTTTAGAAGATAACAAATAAAGACGATTTTGGTATTACACACAATTGATTAAAAAATATTTATATACAGAAAAAAAAAAAGTACATTCCTTTCTTATATGTTGGTCATCAGAATAGCTATGATCATCATAAGTATCAATGCATTCAAAAAATGTATCGTAGCTACCATTTTCTAACAATTATATACATTCACATTATTTTCGATTGATGATGCCAAAAACTGTACATGAGAGACCATACAACCAATTTTATAGTAGGATTTCGATAGTAGATTAAAATAGGAATAGGTTGGCGGGAGATCTTTCCCTTGTTGTGTGTTTAGATCGTTCTTGAAGTTATATATTGGCATCGATTATGAGGGGACTAAAGAGGTCGGACTATGAAACGTGGGAGACTTGTGGGTGATTTCAGGGCCGAGGCCCTAAGAAGGGTCATCGTTGACCTATGATTATTGAGTACAGATTATTAAGCCAAGGATGAAACATGATCTATATCTAGGTGCCACTCCAATAGTCAGATTGTTAACCTGAGGTTTAGGTGACAAATGTTGGTGAGGGAGTCTTGATGTCAACTCGGGATTGAGAGTCCACAAGGTTGGGCCACTTCTCTCTAGAGATAAAGGTGAGTTAGTGACAAATTTTGACCATATCGACCATCATTTAGAAATTCCATAATTGTGAAGTTACCAATTTTATTTTATTTTCAAATGGAATCGACATCAAGATTGAGCAGATAAGACTTTTGGTGATGATGCACATGCAAAGTTAAAAAAATAAGAAAATAGAAAGTGGGACTTTTTTTCAATTATTTACAAAACATTAATTATGAAGATTTAATTTTTCCATCAACCAGTCAAATAAGATTCATCCATAATTTTGTTGAAGGTCATTTAAATTTATGACATATTTAATACCATAACCAACTTAGGTTTAAATGTACTATTTTTTTAAAAACATATTTAAGTAAATAAGTATTAATAATTATTTTTCAAAAATAAAAAAATAAAAAAAGGTATGTTTTACCTAATGGGGCCCATCTTTGATAGGCATGCAAATGGGGATTGAGTGTGGGGGTCCCCTAGCAATCCTTCATGTAGTGAAAAAGTTGGTTATCCCTCAATTCTCACATTTAGAGGGCACATGTTGTGTATACTCAATATTGCTAGTTTCTCATGTCTCACCAATTCCACAATCCACGCATAATTACCCGCCGTCCACTTTTTCTTTTCCCTACACCATTTCCCTTTGTCATTGTACCCCCACCCCAACTGAAGATGTCACTCTTTGTTACATACAAAAATACTCTCTATGAAATACTCTAAACATAATCAAGTATGAGAGACATGTAAATAATTACATACTCATTTTTACTCATTTCAATATGTCAAACATGTCACAAGTCATTATGTTGTATTGTTAAGGGAAAAAAAGTATTAATGAGAGTTCTAATATTTTTGTGCACGGGATTCAATCTTCAGCCATACTTGAGGAATGATCTGATCGGCACCAGCGTTCATCTTATGTTAATCACTAATGATGTATCATATCAATTCATTAGTGAACAAACTTATGGTGGGTCTCAATACTTAAATTAGTTTTGTTATTTATCAATGAATTGATTTGAAATGTAATCAATGCTTAGAGGGTATTTGCCTATTTGGTGGAAATTAAAATTAGATTTTTAGTAGACTGTGATAGAAAGTTTTGAAATATGTGATTGATATTAATTATTTGACTTTGACTTGAATTAAAATCAGATTTTAATTCGGATCAAACAGAGGTTTAGTATAAAATGAGTATCGGTGTTCAATAAATCATTACTCCCCATACTTATGTCTCCATTCGCCCAAATCAGTTGAAAATTTATATATAAATACACCCCACCTTACCCAACTCCAGAGACAGAGATGGTACTCTTTTTCTCTATATAAAGGAACTGCCACATTAAGTTCACTCCACCACCAACTGTACAACCACCAGCAGCATTCATTTCTCTACTTTTCAATGGCTTACTCAGCCAAGCATTTTACCCTCTTTCTCCTTATTTCCCTCTTATCCACATTTCATTCTCATGCAAGAGATAGTCAATTCTTCAACAAAGTTCCTAGCACCACCACCAACAACGTTGTCAAAGAAACGCAAGTCCCAAACAAAGAAGACCCTCTAAGCTACCAAGAGCAGGAACCAAATTTCCTTCCACAGAATGAAAATGGATATAGCCTTTATGGTCATGAGTCCGGTCAACTCCCTCCTTCCACCACCACCGCAACCCCCGCAACCACCACCACCAAGATTCCATACAACACTGAATCAGAAAAACCCCTTAACAAGTATCTCCCTAAAAACTACAACCCTGTGGCCTATGTGACTGTACCAGAAGACATACACAATAGTAACAGTTTCACAGAAGAAAGTTACAGCACAAGAACTAGCAACAACTACAACTACGACGAGGGCGATAGTTTCAATGACCGGCCACAAGAGCTGAGCGCCACCAAGTTCACCGGCGGTGGAAGTTACTCCACCACTCCAAACTACCGTGAGAATTACTATAACAACTTCGGCGGACCTAACTTCGAACCTCAAGGAATGAGCGACACAAGGCTCTTGCAGAACGGGAAATTCTTTTATGATGTTAACAGTGAAAAATATAGCAGCAACCACCCATATGAAAGCTTGAAAGGGGTTCGCGCAAGGAATGAGTACAACAACAGGAATATTTATGGGAAGAACGAGAATTCTTACGAGGATAATAACAAGTACTCCATGGAAGGACAGTATCAAAATGAGTTCCAAGATGAAGAGGATATGCCTTGAAGTTTGAGAGAAATGAGATGAATTTCTGAATCATCAAGTTATTTTCTGTGTGAAACTATAGTAGAGCAGAAGTGAAAGAGTAGATTTTTATTTATGTGTTTTTTTATACTTCTGTTTCGAAAAATTAATATGATCTTATGATTTTGTGTTGTGTGATGGAAAATTGAATAAATTATGTATAAACTAGTGTCGAAATATGGTTAAAATAGTCTACTACGCACTTTGAGTTCTACGAACAATACGAGTATGATAGTTCCTTAGGATTTTTCTAAAGATACGGACTTTTATAATAGAATTAATACAGGGAGATAACTGTTAAAAGAAACCTGTACATATAGCAAAGTTCTAGTTCATTATTCTAAATGATTAGAGTAACTTACTTTGGACTGAAAAATGCAACTTTTTTATTATTGTCGAATCATTTATTCACGAGGTGGTGTAGACACACAATTTTACAAAAAAACTCACAAATTATTTTATAGAGAAGATCGGTCGCAACAAACAATACTAGGACACGTAAACATTTTCCATTAGAAACATTGATGTCCATTATGTAGTGGAGCATTTATATGCCAAACTAGGCTATGGTCATCGTTATGTTTCTCGATAAGAGATCGGACCTCTTGATCATTACCAATCAACACTACGCGTAACGTCGTACACAACTTTAATTATTAAATCATTTGAATTTAAACTAGTACGAGGCAAAGAAGAAACTGTACAATATGCTTTAGGCCTTGTTTGTTTTGGATTAAAATCAGATTTTAATTTAAATCAAAGTGAAACAATCAATATTAACCACATCTTTTATGGTCCTACAACTTTTCAATTACACATTTCAAAAACTTTTATCACAACCTACTAAAAATTTAATTTTTATCCCCACCAAACACCTACTTAATTTGTTTAGAATATAAAGTGCTTGTATGGTAGGGATTGTTGGGGGAAGAATTGATTTTTGAATAGTGATATGATTGAAAATGTGTAGTTGAAAAAGAAGAAAAAATTATTGATGTGAGGGAAAATATTATTTTATTGAAAAATGTGTGATTAAAAATGAAAATTAATTTACTGTAAAATTTGAGAATAAAAAACGAACAGGCCAAAAGTTGACTGGTGGGGTTAATTATTATGAATATTTACTTTAATAAAGATTGTTGACCTACCTAAAACAAAAAGTAGAAAGTGAGGGTTCTGCCATTTCGGTCGCTACATTAAAGAAATCTAATGAAGTGAGGAAGGGTCTTTACAACTTTTGTCCTTCGAAATGAACAATGTTTGTGCATTTGTGGTACCCTATCCTTTTTTTTTTTTTTGATATCCAGGTATCCTAACTTACACTAGACTATGTCCTGGACCACCCATCCCCGGCCCCTCAGTGATGGGTGGAGGTTAATCGCGGGATATGCCCAAATTGACCAGGGTCTGTGTACCCTTTATACTCCTGGCCCCAAGGGAGCCTTCCTCCATG